CTTTTGCAGAGAACACCTTTCTGCGTGTGTTCAGCCCCCCTTCTTTGGCGACACAGAAAGGAGAATTCTACTGCCAGAGGGTTATAATCCCTAAGTGCAGCCAAAGGCCTCCTACGCAGAAACGAATTCTACGCAAAAATACATTTGTTAGAAAGAAATTTTTTTTTTATAAAAACTTGTATTTTCTATTTTTAATTAACTTTTTTATTCTTTATTCAAAATCGCCCGATATCTAATTTGGCATAATTTCTTTTATTAAAAAATCCCACGGTTTCTGTTAGTTGGGTCATATTCCACTTCAAACTGCTCAGTTTGCCTAAGAAAATTCCGCTTTTCCCCCTTTTCCAAACGGTTCCCTAGGGGCCCGTGTGAGGAGCCCAAGGGGAGGGTACGCCTTTTCAGAAAGCGGGGACTGTCCCCTTTCTAGTGGGGGGGTTTGGAAACCAACCAAAAGAGAGATGTTGAGCTTCATAATGTCCGTTTTTGATACCTTCTGTTTGCTGGGGAATTTAACAATTATCGGCAAAGTGTTAATGCAGACGTTGTGGAAAAGGAAAGTGGCATGGGACGATGAACTGCCTGAGGAGCTATGTGGCCGGTGGGTGTCGTGGCCTGAAGAGTTGAAAAAGGTAAGAGACTATAAAATCCCTATATGTTTTTCCGAAGATTTTTGCAGTGTGAAGAAGCAGCTACATATATTCTGTGATTCTAGTTAGTCGGCAACGGCGGTGGTGGCTTACTGGAGGATTGAGACGCCAGAGGGGGGAAACTAGCGTTTGCTGCCGGAAAGTCAAACTGCGCACCAGCTAAATATGTATCGATGCCACGGTTGGAACTGCAAGCAGCGGTATTCGCTGTTCGACTTAGGTGCCACATTTTAAAATGCTGCGAAGTCGACGTTGAAAATATTGTTATGTGGACAGATTCGACTACGGTGGTGAAATGGATTAACTCCGATACATATAAGTACAAGCAGTTTGTTGCCAATCGGTTCGCCGAAATTTTGGAATCGTCACATGCAGCCGAATGGAGATGGGTTCCTGGTACGCTCAACCCTGCTGATGATGGAACGAGATGCATCCAATATGACCCGGATGGACGTTGGAAAAATGGCCAAAATTTTCTAATGCAGCCTCCAAGTAACTGGCCGTCAGAAAATACTGCGCTGGATTGTGGTTTTTGCAAAGTGCGCTGAGCAGGAGCTTCGTACCAAGTATATTGGAATCGCTCATCGTAAGTGTTGCCAGCATTATGATGTTTCACGCTTTTCAAATTACTCTCGACCCAAAAGGACGATCGCCTGGGTGAGAAGGTATGTTTATAACTTGAAAATGAAAATTAACCAGCAGCCGTTAAAAAAGGGTGAGCTTACCGTAAATGAAGAAGGGGGCGCTGAGAACCTGCTTATAAAATGCACCCAACGAGACGCTTTCTGCGAAGAGTACCGGCAGATGCGCATTGGTCACCCTGTTAGTGCAAGTAGTGCGTTGAAAATGTTATGCCCGTATATTGATGAAGATGGCCTCATCAGGTGTAGTGGACGTATCGTAAGTGAGCCAAATTTACCTGTGCAAATGAAACGGCCCGTCATATTACCCAAGAATCATAATTTGACTAGATTGCTCGTGGAAATGTAGCATAAGCGTTTTCATCACATTTACAATCAGGTCACAATCAACGAAATACGACGTAAATACTGGGTTCCATCTTTGCGAGTATTGGTCAATAGCGTGAGGGCCGGATCTAATACCTGCAAAGTACGAAGAGCGACACCACTTCAGCCTATCATGGCGCCATTGCCAGTCGATAGGGTCACCTCATTTGTTTGCCCATTCTCATACACTGGACTTGATTATTTTGGGCCTGTGGATCGCGCTCTTCACTTGTTTAAACGTCCGAGCAGTACACTTGGAAATAGCGGCAGACCTGAGTAGCGATGCGTGCATAGTTTGCATAAGGAACTTCATAAACCGACGTGGTGTTCCGGTACAAATCCGTAGCGAACCAATTTTGTGGGTATCGCGAAGGAGCTAGGTTATGATGTAACTTTTTTGGACCATAATGCTATAACTGCCGCCCTCGCACCGTTGGGAGCTAAGTGGAAATATAATACGCCAGCTGATCCCAGTGCGGGAGGAGCATGGGAGAGACTTGTGCAGTCGGTTAAACGAGCCTTGAATTCCATGCTGAAGGAGCCTGCTCCCAAACTAGAAACGCTCTATAGTCTGGTAGTCGAGTCGGAGAACATAGTAAACTCGAGGCCGCTTACGCACCTGCCTGTGACACCGAGCGAGCCCGAACCACTTACACCAAATAATTTTTTACTTGGTTGTACTAACTCAACGCAAACACCCGCGCTATATGAACATCGCTTGTGCTCACTCCGGAAGCAATTGCGTTTGCTGTAAAATATGAAAAATCACTTTTGGAAACGTTGGGTGAGCGAGTATTTGCCCGAGCTGACTCGTCGAACTAAATGGAATCGCCCATCAAAGCCGTTAAGCACCGGGAGTCTTGTCCTCATCTGTGAAGCAGACCTCCCAAGATCTAAATGGCGCAGGGGCAGAGTATTGAGCTTACGCATCGGTCCGGATGGAGTCGCCAGATCAGCAGAAGTGAATGCGAGCAGCGGAGTACTAAAGCAACCAATTTCAAAATTAGCGGTGTTAGATGTCGAAGAGGACTCTGGTGAATGTTCCCGAGGTCGGGAGACGATTCACGGGGGAGGGGATGTGGGAAACTAACCTCAAGCATTTAAAGTGGTTTATTCTAAAGTATCTAATAATGCAACCGTGTGCCTTCCTTATTTCATTGTTTCTTTTGTCCCTTCGTTCTTTGTACATAACAACTGTTGGGTCACCTAACGAGACACCCTACAAGCTGCCTTAGGTTAAGAACACCTGAACACTCATTTACTTAAGACTCATTTAAATAATTGCATTCAATAACTCCAATGTTATTACATTCAAGCTCACTCTCAATTGTACAAAGAGATATACACACATATTTACATACTTATATGTCAATCTAACACAACTAATTGTACTTATACATATGTATATACTACGTATGCATGCTTACATCCATATGTACATAAAGATTTAAAGTTAAACTCTCATTGGAATTTCACTGTTGTATCACGCCACCGCCTACCAATGTTACGTGAATATACATACATACTAACATCATACTTAGCTTGAATTACATATAATATGAGTTGAGAACATAAAATAAATTAGTCTTCTGTTGACCACCAAGACGTGTTAATTTCATTTTCGGTAACTTTGCTCATTTCGCATATTTTAATTGCACAGCCCAAATGAGATAATAAATCTTTGCTAATACGGTTTGTTAAATTGTGGTTTAGAAAAACGCTTCTTTAAACCCCCGACATTTTTTGGCGCCCAACGTGGGGCTGTGCATTAAAGAAAAAAAAACTATTTGCTGCTCGCGCTTAAATTTATTTTTAAACAAATTATTTTGTCGCGTTTTTGCTCTTGGTGCTCTTCACTTGGCTCTTTACCATCATCACCATCACCATCGCTGGAGGCTTGCGCCGTGGGACCCCACTGTTGGACATCGGAGCGCTTCATATATTTTGCATTGTTTGCGACATAAATTTCGCTGCCACCATCATACGCTGCTGCCGTCTCTACTGCTGCTTCGTTATACGCTAACGTTCGCATACGTTAGCTCGCTGTCGCTGCAAACTCTAATCGTTGCTGCGATTTCGTTTTCTCGTCGCTGCGCCAGCGGTAAGTGTACGCATACATTGTTTCGCTGCAGTTGGTAAATTTGCGTGCTGCTGTTATTGGGCTTATCGTTGCCATTGCACTCTGTTTCGCTGCCACCATCATACGCTNACTGCTGCTTCGTTATACGCCAACGTTTGCATACGTTAGCTCGCTGTCGCTGCAAACACTAATCGTTGCTGCGATTTCGTTTTCTCGTCGCTGCGCCAGCGGTAAGTGTACGCATACATTGTTTCGCTGCAGTTGGTAAATTTGCGTGGTGCTGTTATTTGGCTTATCGTTGCCATAGAACTCTGTTTCGCTGCCACCATCATACGCTGCTGCCGTCTCTACTGCTGCTTCGTTATACGCCAACGTTCGCATACGTTAGCTCGCTGTCGCTGCAAACACTAATCGTTGCTGCGATTTCGTTTTCTCGTCGCTGCGCCAGCGGTAAGTGTACGCATACATTGTTTCGCTGCAGTTGGTAAATTTGCGTGCTGCTGTTATTGGGCTTATCGTTGCCATTGCACTCTGTTTCGCTGCCACCATCATACGCTGCTGCTCAGCTGCTGCCGTCGCCACTGTTGTACGTTAACGTATGCGAACTCTATTTCACACCCGCTGCAAACCCTAGTCGTTGCTGCGATTTCGTTTTATCGTCGCTGTGGGTTAACTGTAAGTTTACACATATTTTTTCGCTGCATTTGGCACATTTGCGTGCTGCTGCTGCTTGACATACCGTTGCCTAGGCGCTCTGCGTCGCTGTCACCGTCGCCACTGCATCATCTTCGCTGCAGCTCAGCTGTATCGTTTGCACTCGCTGACTTCGCTGCCTAACTTTTCGCTGCTACCCAACAAACATTTAAGCGGGATTTGCCATTTGTCGTTACTCTCAGTGTCCCGTTGCTCCAGAGGTCATCCAAAGATCATTTCGCGAATATTCGTTAAATTCAACAGCCGTTGTTACTGATATTCGTTGTTGTTATTGATCGCTGTCGTATTAAAACACACATCGTGTGCATACGTAAATTTTCGCTAGTTTCTCACTCTATTTAAAATGTCTCTAGAAGAGTTGAAACAACAAAGGGCTAATATCAAGAAGAATATTTCCCGCATCAAAAACATTGTTGAGGCCAGTCTACGACCAGGTGGTAAAACACTCTCCGTAGCTGAGTATAAATGTCGGCTTGGAATTCTTGAATCGTACTTCAAGAATATGTTGTCTACCCAAACCGACATCGAGAGGCTGGATTCGGAGGATGGTGGTCGTGCAGACCTAGAGGAGCTATACATCACAACGAAGTTGACCATTCAGACCCAACTAACTGAAGATCACAACGCCACAATTTCAGAAAGCACTTGTGTCATGCAGGCAAGTTCTAAACTTCCCAAACTTAAACTTCCTTCATTCAGCGGTAAATATTCTGAATATAAAAATTTCATAACATCCTTTAAGCAAATAATTAACCGTGAGTATAGCCTCTCAAACATAGAGAAATTTAATCATTTACGCAATTGTCTCCAGGGTCCAGCGTTAGAAAAAATTGATGCGTTTCCAGTTTCTAATGAAAAATATCCGAAGGCATTGGATAGACTTAAGGTTCGGTATGACAATGCAACCTTAATATTTTTAGAAAACATATGTTCGCTGTTTGAACATTCGTCAGTTTCCAAGTCCAATGGCGCCCAGTTGAGAAGTCTCATTGACAAAGCGTCTGCGATTTACGGCTCATTATTGTCATTGGGCACAGAAATCCAAATTTCACAAGCCATGCTTATTTATTTAGTTTTACAGAAGGCAGATGAGGAGCCAAACCGTAAATGGAAGGAGTCTCTAGATTTTAAAACATTACCGACCTGGAACGATTGCACCAAGGTTTTGGAGAGACATTGCCAGTACCCCGACTCGATTGATAACTCTCAAGCCAAGAGCCATTCATTTGCTTGTTCGAGTCCGTCATGTTCGATGTGCTCCAGCAACAGTCACAAAATACATAGTTGTGATCGCTTCAAGGCACTTAACGTGTCACAGCGTTTTGACCACGCAAAGAAGATGGGCCTTTGCATAAATT